TGTGTGTGCCCTGGTGTTCTTGCTTAGTTGCATATGCTCACTCTGCCACCTTGCCTTGGAATTCCATCTCTCCTTATACCTAAGTAATTTTTACTTGTCCTTTAAAATTCAACTCAGAGTTCTTTAGCATTATGGGTACAAATTCTTCATCCAGATACATGATTTGCAAATATTTTCTCATGGGGCTTGTGATTTACATCTTCCATCTGTTCAACAGTGTCATTGGATAAGAAGCTTTTACTCTCGAAGTTCTGCCCTTCATGAAGTGTACTCTTTCATTATTGTGGTTTTGGTGTATAACTAGCAAACTGTTGCCTCACCAAGGATCACAGATTTCTCTCCTTTGTTCTGGAACATTTAGTTTCAGGTTTTACATTTAGCTCTGTGGTCCATTTAGAGTTATTTTATATATGCAGTAAGGTATGACCAAAACCTATTGTTCCATATCTGGGTATCTGGTGTTCCAGTGGCATTTGTTGAAGATGGTCCTTCCCCCACTTCACTGCCTTGCACCTTTGTTGACTGTATGTGTAGGGGTCTACTTCTGGACTCTGTTCTGTGTTGTTCATCCATTAGTCTCTCTGTGCCAATTTCATACTTATTTTAGCAATCACAATTAAAATTCAGCAATAGATTTGAGTAGGCACTTCATCAAAGAAGATAGATGAGTGGTAAATAAGCACACAAAAAAGACAGCATCGTTAGACATTAGAGAGATGTTGATTAGAACCACAGACTGACCACAGCAAGAGATAAGGATGAAGAAAAACTAAAAGTTACACTGCTGTTCGTAATTAGAAGTCATGCAACCACTTTAGAAGAGAGTTTAGAAATTTCCCAGAAAATTAACCTATATATATACCCTATGACACAACCATTCCACCTTGAAGTGTTTACATAAGAGAAATGAAAGAAAATGTCAATGCAAAAAAGACTTGGGCATGAATATCTCACACCATACTACCTGTTGCTTTTGTCACCTCATTTTATGGTTGCAGAAACTGAGACTCAGGGAGCTTAATTACCATGCCCACGTGAGGACTCAAGCCCAGACACTGGCTCCTGAGCCCCTGTGCTTAGCTACCATTCTCTACCAGGCGTGCTGGAAGCAGGCACCTGATTTTCTTCAAGTGTTATGGACTTTTAGAATGCGATTTAAAAAGTATGGGAAAGAAAATTTGTCATTAACAATCCTTCAGCAAAGTTTTGAAGAGATTATCTACTTATGGCACATTCCTTCCAGCTCATACCTTTGATCATGTGTATAGTTTACACACTAAACATCATCTTACATTGTTTTAATTGCATTCCTTTTTCCATTTGCTATTTTATTATAACATTTTAGATGACTTCATATTTCATTAATGTTTTGAGTTATTGTCTGAGGAAAGATTTGTCATTTTAGGAGAGTGGGTAAGAGAAAAATTTAAGTATGCAATTTTCATCTGGGGAATTTACTAAACTATTTAAAATTACCATGTACAGGTAAAAAGTTTCAAAAAACTTTTAACTGGAAATCATTTAGCAATATTTTATTGTTATAATTATGATATTAATGTAGGTTTGTCGAATGTTTTAGTGACTTACCATGGGATCTTATTAGGGTGAAAATTCGAAGAAGTGCAACTATATATTTTATGATTTGTTTAAAAATTATATGCTTAAACTTTATCAAATTAAATCTGAATTTGTTCAAGTTACAATTTTTTTCGCTTTTTATGTTAGACAATTTAGGGAAACATAGTGCTTAAGAATGATAGCAAAAACCCTTGTAAGGAGAGTTTTATACAAAATATTTAGCCCCTCAAATCACAAAAGAATATGGACCTTCTTTAGTGACTTTACATTTGTTCTGTGAAGACTTTGAATTGGTCGCCAGTGAGCCACTAAAAATATTCTTGCAAATGTTAGTTGGATTACTAGGTGGGATGGACATAACTAGCTGCACAGGTATAAAGAGAAAGTATAACATAAAGCCATAATATAGACTTGTTCACTTTTACAAAGAAGTGAAATACATATGTATACACATACACATATGTACAAAATCTGTATACTCTTTGTCTTAAATATTTGTTCATCATATGTGAGTATTTGGGAAGCTAACTACCATTTTTAGAAATTGAACAAGAGAATAAATTAGAATTAATTTGAGTTGAAATAATTGGCCAACTTACCAAGTTGTTAAGTAATTTGTTAAAATAGAATAATGTAGCATTGCTTTTCACTTTTGGAACTAGATATGATACAAAAAGTTCAGGGCTTTGGAGTCATAATGACATGGATTTGAATCTTGACTTTGCCACTTGTTAACTTTTAAGGCCTTGTTACTCAAGATGAGCCTCATTTTTCTTCTTTGTATTGAGGGGCTATATTTATTTTACTTGGCAAATGCAGAGTTTATAAGTTTCTGAATTTCTTCCATTCCAAAAGTATTTATTGAGGGCTAATAGTGAATAAAGTTAAGTGCCTGCCTTGAGTTTCTCTCATTTCTGATGGGGAGTGTCAGATAATAAACAAGTCAATAGACATAGCATTTTGGGTGGTAAGTGCTTTGATGGAAATAAAGAGAAAGGGAACAGAACGACTAGGTGGAAAAACGACTATGTTGAGTAAGGATGTGGAGTGCTAGCTAATGCAGGAAATCCTCACAGTCTCTAATTTGAGAAAGATATGAAGGAAATGGAGGCGAAAACCATGAAATTATCTGGGGAAGGGCCACTTTAGGAAGAAAGACAACAATAAATGCAAAAGTTTTGAGATGGGAACATATATGCTGTGTTCAAAGAACTATGCGGGGGCAAGGCTAATGATGCCACGGCAGGAACAAAAGTGGTCCAAATGGCTGGAGGTTAGGTAAGAGGTGCAGATCATATGAGCCTTGTAGGATGTCTAGGACACTAGACTTCACTCTGAATGAGATGGGAGAGGATGGAGACACTGTGTTGAAGAAGGATAAGATCTGGATTTCATTCTGCTTAGAGTATTAAGAAGAAAGCAGGCAGGGTGGGGATAGGGATGTTGTGGGGAACATTAGGAGCTTACTGGGAGGGCTAGTGGAGGTGGTTCAGTTCTTGATATATGTTAAAGGATTTCCAGATAAGATTGTATAGGTGGGTGAGAAAAGGGGGAGGTGTCAGGGATCAATATTTTTTCTCTTCCTGTATATGTACTTGGGGACAAGGAAAACAGTGTGGCAGAAAAAGAACAGATTGGAGTGAAAGCATGAACTCTGTTTTGGACATTTTGAAGATGAATGTCTGTTAAATGGTATTTCCAGTTACGAGTGTGGAGTTTAGGGAGGAGGTTGGGTTGGAAGTGGAAATTGGGAGCCAAGAGATGACAGATGGCATTTAAAGTTGTAGGAGTCAATGAGATCACCAGGAGAATGACTGTAGATCGAAGACAGACTGAACCCTGGAACTCTACCACATGTAGAGATCAGACAGACAAGAGAAATCCATCAAAGGAGACTGAGAGAAGTAACCTTTGAGGTAGGAAGCATTCCAGGATTTGGGAATGATCAACTGAGTCAAATACTGTTGGGTCAAAAGGGTCAGTTCTGAAAATTAACCTGCAGACTTGGTAACATGGATGTGGTGAGAGATTTCCATGAGCAATTTTGGTGAAATAAAAACCTGATTGATTGAGGGTTTAAGAGAGACTGGAGTAAAGCCATCTCTTCTGAGTTTTGTGGTGAAGATAGCAGAGAAGTGGGAGCTTTGGAAAGCACAACACTTTGTCTATTACAGCTCTCCCATGCTTTCTTGTCCCACCAGTTCCACTTTATTCCTCCAGTGATTACCTGCCAGGCCCCTTGAGGTATTTCAGTTCTTATTTGTACCATAGGGTTCTCTGATATTGTGTGATCCAAAGATCTTGTGCAGGATGAAAAGTGGTAATTGATAATGTTATTGATCCAGAAGAGTGGCAGAGGCAGCAATATGATAAAGAGGAACTCAGTGTCTAAGGAACAGAATATTTTTTATTTTAATGTGTTTCTAAGCTGTCTCACCACTGGAACAGCTCAAGCCTGTATACTGTTTGAACACGTCCTCTTACTCTTTTATTTAAAAAACGTCATTAGTGTGGCATATCTTGTGATCTTTAAATTTTGAGTTCAGTTTAAAAAGTGAATATTAGTTTTTGAGCCATGCATTGTTTTAGTTACTTTGGTGCCTACAAAGATATGCAAATTAGTTCCAGTCTTAAAATTTATAATTTGTAGAGGCAAATCACAACTTTGAGGTAGAACAGATGACCCAGTCAGGGGCTTCAGGAAAAGCCTCCTAGAGGAAATGGTATTTAAAGTGGCCCTTTCTGTATTACTAGGGTCTTGGAGCTTGATAGGGAATAATGAAAATAATAGTAACAAAACGTAGACACAGGAAAGCATCTAAGTAATTAAAAGGCCTAATTAATGTACCATCTGTGTGGCTAACTCAGAATCCTGGGTTGTCATTTTAACAAATCATGTACAAAGCAAATAATACAGCCTGAATTGGGCTTTAAAACATGGTTCACTTCATTTGACTTATGCTAGAACTATCCTAAATTAGTTTTAACCAACTGTAGTTCTCAGACTCCTGAATGTTAATCTTTATTTCTATAAAGATTTCCTTGTTTTTAATTTTATTTTACATATTTTAATGAAAATTAAAATTAGATCTGTGTCTTATGAACTATGCTTTTGGGAAAATAAGAACTTCACAATTATTACTTGCAATATCCAAAATTTAAGACCTTGTCAGTTATAATCAGAAACAGAATGATCCCTAATCTATGCTTTACTACTTCTTCATATGTTCTTTTGATAATAAGCTTTGAACAGGGTTAAGTTAATCAGTTACTGTTTATAAAACTCACATTTAGAAACTTGGAAACAAAGAATTTATATTATGAAACTTTGAAAGTAATTGCATAATCTACCCCCACCCAGAAATATCCTGTAAGTTAGAGAGAAGAGGTCCTGTGGGTCACAGTCTTTTCTCTGTCTTTAGGAAATGGAGTTATTTTTCCCTTCAAGTGGAGGTTGTGGGCCAGCAAACACTGCAAAGTTTACCAGTTGTACCTGTTGCATCATTAAGCCCCATGCTGTCAGTGAAGGTAAGTGTTCCGTTGAATACAGTAGCTCCAGTATATTTTGGTAATAGAACAGTTTGTTTCACTAATACTTTTTCTTCCCGTATTTTATGTGATGAAATTAAAGTATCATTTTAATATTTCAATTTACTTTTTCTTTGAAGGTATGTAAGTAGTGATGACAGGTTATAAGGGGAAATCTGTCCAAATCTGTCTTTATCTTTGTACATTTTTAGAAGGTGTTTCTTGAGTTGCTGATCATGGTCCTGCTCACTCCTGTTAATAGGTCTTGATTCCTTGACTTAATTTTCCTTCTGTCTTTCCAATCACTTAACTGTGATTCACAGAATTTACTTAAATAGCACTCCTAATGTTTAATTTAAAACAATGTCTACCATACCTGTATCATACTCTTCCTAAGACAGGTGGAGAAACTGCCTTCACTTCTCAGTATCTAAAAAATCTTCTTGAGAAATATGTGTGTCTGTAGTGTGTGTGTGTGCACCCATGTACATATATATATGTACATATATGTGTATATGCTGTGAGAATTGGAAAGGTTCTTTTCTTTTAATCTCAATTCCTTCATCTGTTTATTTTAGTCTGTTGTATGTGTTTCTATCAGCTATCCCAGATTTTTTTTTTGGAAGTGAGATGGGGAATAATTAAAAAAAAAATCATCCTTATTAAATTAAAGTATGTAAATAACATACAGAATTTTATGATTTTTTTCCATTTTGTTTTCTAAGCATCAAAGTGATTTATGTAATTTAAAAAGTGGAAAATAAAAAATAAAAATAAATAAAATTTAACTTTTCTGTCATCTATAGGTGGTCATTATTAGTATTTTAATGCATTTCCTTCAAATCCTTTTCTTTTGTATTCTGTGTGTGTATACAGGGGTACACCGAGACACATGAATGTAATTGTTAATATGGTTGAAATGTAGATTGATAGGCTGTTGCTTTAATTTTTGTGGGCATTTTTTACCTTAAGTCTTTATGAATATTTTAATTGTTTATTTAATATAAATAATTAAATATAAATATGGATGTAGTATACTATTTGAATACTTAGGTTGTTCCTACTTTTTTAATATTAAAAATAAAATTTTATAGAATGTATTTGTACATAAATATTTGCTCTTTCTAATCCTTTCCTCTGGCTAGTTTCCTACAAGTAGAAATGTTGGTTGAAAAGATATAAACCTTAAAATCTTGTTGCATAATTAATAGTTTATTAATTATTTAGGCAATACTTAAATAATTTATAGATTTTGAGGAGTATAATTATATGGAACTAACATCTATGATGACTAACACATTTATGAAGAACTTACCACATGTGCCAGGTAGCAGACTGGGTGGAACCTTTTTCATTTTCGTTAATTGTCAGAGCAAATATGTCAAGTTGGTGAATTTATTATTATTTTTCCAAGAAGAACAGTGAGATTCTGTGAGGATATTTTCCCTAACTGGAATAGGGAAGCCAGGATGACAACACTAGCTGGATTTTTTTTTTTTTTTTTTAGCTTTCATACTCTTTCCTCTATGATATAGCATCCCAATATCAGCAAAAGCAAAGTTGATAGCATTTTTTAAAGGAAGTGATAGCAATACAAATGTCTGATAATCCATGAAAAAGTCTTGGAATCTCAAATTGTACCCATTTTTCGTATCTATGGAGTAGTATGTGTATGTGTATATATTTATATATTAACATACATACGTGCGTATACACATACACATGCAACTTGTTACATTCATTTTTCTTACCTAGGGAGAGGTATGGATATGTGTATGTATTTATGTATTTACATATACACATGAATATGTTTATTCACACACACAAACCTTATTACACTAATATTTCTTAGATGTGTGTGTGTGTGTGTGTGTATATATATATATATGCAAATAAGTGTGTATTTCATGTGTGTATATATGTGTGTATATACTTATATACAAGCACATTTCTTTAGGTAAGGAAAATTAATGCAACATAAATAAGATCTCAATTTTTTATATTCAAATGTGCATTTTATTTGTGAATTATTTCTGAAGAAGTCTGATTTTATTTTTTTCCCTTTTTATTTAATTATTTATACATGACAATAAAATGCATTTGTGCATTTTGATATGTCATATATAATGGGATATAATTCTCATTTTTCTGAGTATACATGTTATAGAAACAATGGTCATGCAGTCACATATATACATAAAGTAATAATGTCTGTTTCGTTCTCTTGTCTTTCCTATCCCCACATTCCCTCCTCTCCCCTCCCTTCACTTCCCTCTGTCTAATCTAAGGTATCTATTCTTCTCTAGTGTCCACGCCCCCTTATTGTGAATTAGTATCTGCATATTAGAGAAAACATTGGGCCTTTGGTTTTTTTGGATTGGCTTATTCACTTAGCATGATATTCTCCAGCTCCATCCATTTACTGGCAAATGCCATAATTACATTCTTCTTTAAAGTTGAGTAATATTCCATTGAATATATGTACCACATTTTCTTCATCCATTCATCTATTGCAGGACACCTAGGTTGATTCCATAGTTTAGCTATTGTGAATTGAGCTACTATAAATATTGACGTAGCTGCATTACTGTAGCATGCTGATTTTTAAGTCCTTTGAATATCCACTGAGGGGGGGATAGCCGGGTCAAATGGTGATTCCATTCCAGTTTTCTGAGGAATCTCCATACTGCTTTCCATAGTGGTTGCACCAATTTGCAGTCCCATCAGCAATGTATGAGTCTACCTTTTTCCCACATTCTTGCTAACATTTATTGTTGCCTATATTCTTAATGATTGCCATTCTGATAGGAGTGAGATAAAATCTTAGTGTAGTTTTGATTTGCATTTCTCTAATTGCCAGAGATGTTAAACACTTTTTCATATATTTGTTGATTGGTTATATTTCTTCTTTGGTGAAGTGTCCAGTTCCTTAGCCCATTTATTGATTGGGTTAGTTGTTTTTTTGGTGTTAAGTTTTTTGGGTTCTTTATATATCCTAGAGATTAATGGTTTATCAGAGGTGCATGTGGTAAAGATTTTCTCCCAATCTGTAGGCTCTCTCCTCACATTACTGATTATTTCTTTTGCTGAGAAGAAGCTTTTTAATTTGAATCCATCCCATTTATTGATCCTTGATTTTACTTCTTGTACTTTAAGGGTCTTCTTAAGGAAGTCAGATCCTAGGCCTCATTTCCCTCTAAGAATTTTTTATTTTATCCTTGATTTCTTCTACTATCCATTCATCATTCAGTAGTGTACTTTTTACTTTATCGTTGATTTCTAATTTCATTCCATTGTGATCTGATAGAATGCAGGTTATTCTCTCTGTTTTTTTTTTTTTTTTTTTTTGTATTTACTAAGAGTTGCTTTGTGGCTTATGATATGGTCTATATTTTAGAGAAGGAGTCATGTGCTGCTGAGAAGAAAGTATATTCACTTATTGATGTATGAAATATTCTATATATGTCTGTTAAGTCTAAATTATTGATTGTATTATTTAGTTGTATAGTTTCTTTATTTAGTTTTTGTTTGGAAGATCTGTCCCTCAGTGAGAGAGGGTTGTAAAAGCCACTCGGTATTATTGTGTTGTGGTCTATTTGATTCTTAAAATTGAGAAGGGTTTGTTTGATGTGTGCAGATGCTCCGTTGTGTCAGGCATAAATATTTATAGTTGTTATGTCTTGTTGCTGTATGGTTCCCTTAAGTATGAAATGTTCTTCTTTGTCTCTTCTGATCAACTTTGGCTTGAAGCCTGCTTTATCTGAAATGAGGATGGAAACCCCTGCTTGATTAGACAGTCCATGTGAGTGATATGTTTTTCCCATCCTTTCACCTTTAGCCTGTGGATGTCTTTGCCCATGGAGTGAGTCTCTTGATGACAACATATTGTTGGGCCTTGCTTTTTAATCCCATCTACCAGTATGTCTTTTGATTGATGAGTTTAGGTCATTAACATTCAAGGTTATTATTGAGATATGATTTGTATTCCCTGTCATTTTGACTTATTTCTGGTTTTCAATTTAACTTAGTTTCTCCTTTGGTTGAATATTCTTTTAATGTAGATTCTCACTTCTCTGGTTTTCACTTTTTTTTTTTTTTTTCACTTCATCCTCATGGAGTATTTTGTTGAGGATGTTTTGTAGTGCAGGATTTCTGGTTGTGAATTCTTTTAATTTTTGTTTATCATGGAAGGTTTTAATTTAATCTCCAAATCTGAAACTTAATTTTTCTGGATATAAAATTCTTAGTTGGCATCCATTTTCTTTCAGAGCTTGAAATATATTATTCCAGTATCTCCTAGCTTTGAGAGTCTGGGTTTAGAAATCCATTGAGATCTGAATTGAATTTCCCCTATAAGAAATTTTAATTTTATATTTTTCTCTTACAGCCTTTCAGATTTTATCTTTATTCTCTGTGTTAGTCATTCTCATTATAATGAGTCTTGGTATGGGTCTGCTCTCATTTTGTACATTTGGGGTCCTGTAAGCCTCTTATATTTGATTTTTCCATTCCATTCCTTAGGTTTGGGAAATTTTCTGCAATTATATCATTGAAAAGATTGTGCATTCCTTTGGTTTGCATCTCTGCCCCTTTATCTATTCCAATAACTCTTAAATTTGGTCTTTTCATGTTATCCCACAATTTTTGGATGTTCTGTTCATGGTTTCTTATCATCTTCTCTGCATGGTCAACTCTATTTTCAAGATTATATATTTGTCTTCATAGTCTGAGGTTCTGTATTCCAAGTGGTCTACTCTTTGGTGATGCTTTCTATTGAATTTGTAATTTGGTTTATTGATTCCTTCATTTTGAAGATTTCTGCTTGTTTTTTTCCCCACAATCTCTATTCTTTATTGAAGTGATCTTTCACTTCCTGTATTTTTTCTTTGATTTCACTCCTTGAACTGTCCTTTAATTAACAGATCAATTTAACTGTACATTCTGAATTCCTTTGTGGACTTCTTTGCTTCTACTGGTGTTATCAGTGGCTTCTGTTGTTG